ATGGTTTTTTTTAAGGAAAAATTCATAATGACACTATTATAATAAATAGTAATATGTGTGTTGTCATATGCGTGCTGCTGTATAGTAACGTCTCGAGAAGATTTAGTAATTTGCAATTTGTAATTATACGAGTACAATGAATATTCAAATGAATAGTAACCCGTTTTGTTAATTGTCATGGAAATCTTAAAAAAATAAATATAGAAAGTGATGGGTATAGGTGGATACATTGTTACTTGTTTGGAGTAGAAATAGAAGGACACGAAATATAGGAACCCTATAGCTGGCAAGAGTTGTCTCTTCTTTCTTTCTCTAGGCCCAGCTCCCTAAATTTTCTTTGTTTTTGATTGCTTGCTTGCTTACTACATTTCTTTCTTGTGCTACTTGCTTAAGAGATTCACGTTGCTCTCTCGTTCAGTTTCTCTATGTTCTTTCAAGAATTGACCATTAGGGTTTTGTAATTGAAAGAAAGAAAATGAGTGCTTCAAGATTCATAAAGTGTGTCACTGTTGGTGATGGTGCTGTTGGAAAGACTTGCATGCTCATTTCCTACACCAGCAACACTTTCCCTACTGTAAGTAAAGTTACAATCTTCTGCTTTCTTTTTTTCCTTTTTGCTTTAGTTTCTGTTTGGTTCTTAGGAAAAGAAAATGCGGGAAAGTGGAAGATATGTTTGTTAAGTCAACTGGGGTTGATAAAACTAATTAGGTTTAGCTGAAAGGGTGCTGCTTTTTTGGTTCAAAACCTAAAATTGGAATGTAAAGGTTTTTTTTTTTGCGTTTTTGTGTTTGTTTTCCTGGAAAATGCAGGGAGTGTAAAGAGTTCATAGATTGAAATTTACCATGTTAAGTCAACCTAATTGAGTGTGTCAAGGCTGTGCCTTTTTCTTTGTTTTAACAAATTTTGGATTGAGAGGTCAAGCTTAAGGATTTTAGGTATAGGTTGCTCTTTTAGTACCCGGAATATGGAAGATATATTGTTATGTCAACCGGGCTTGATAAAAGTGATTGGTTTTAGTAGATGGAGTGTTGCTTTTTTTGCTCAAAACCTATTATTTGGGGTATAAAGTTGAGGTCTCTTTTGGTTCTCTGTTTGTTTCCCTGGAAAATGTGAGTAACGTAAAGAGAATTCTAGATTGCAATTTGTCATGTTAAGTTAACGGAGCCTTATTTTTTTAAGTAATTGGGTTTGTCGAGGTGTTTTTTCTTTGTTTAAAAACTTCTGGAGCGAAGGTCAAGTGTCTCGGTTTTTGGCATCTGATTCTGTTTAGCAACCCGAGAATCTGGAAACTGAGAGGAAATTCAACAATTTTTGCCCTTTTATAGTAAATTTGTCTTTGCTTAGGAACTGATATGGAGAATCCTTCAACTGACCATGCCTTTTACAAGCAATTCACTTTCAGAACATGTTTCTGTACCGGTGTATTGTCTTAAATAAGAGCTAATTGAAGTGTTAACCTGGCAAACAAAACGTGGAGACAGCGAATTTCTTGTTTTTTTAATTTGTAATATGTTAATCAGTTGAAGCTGGCCTCACACTAGTAGTAGGTTTTGGTTTAGGTGGGTTTTTCCATTGGAGACCTCTAACAAGTTTGACTTTTGGGGTTATTTTTGGAGTTTCACTCTGTTACATTGCAATATTCCTGGAAAAATGCTTGCTTTGATCTTACTCTTGTATTTTGAGCTGAGCAGAATTAGAAGAAAAGAGTGTTTTATGGATTCTTTCTTCAGTTTTGGTTTTCACAGAAATTTTAATCCTGTTTTTAACTGGTTCTTTCTGTATTCAAAGATTAAATATTCCCTCTAAATGCTTTGGGAAAGCTCTGTTATATGATTTATGTTGTGGTGATTCAGCATTTCTGCCTGCCTTTTCCTTGTAATTTTGATCATATTCCAATATAGACTGGGAAAGAATGGTTTTAACATCAAGGATTCTTTTTGCTGTATTTTCTGAAAATGGGAAACAGGATTATGTGCCAACCGTGTTTGACAATTTCAGTGCAAATGTGGTTGTGGATGGGAGCACTGTCAATTTAGGGTTGTGGGATACTGCTGGTAGGTTTCAAATTAATAAAATTTCCTTTTCCTGTCTTTTAAATGTTCATGATAATCACTTCATGTGTTGACTTCATTGCACAGGCCAGGAAGATTACAATAGACTGAGGCCTTTGAGCTATCGGGGGGCAGACATTTTCCTGCTTGCTTTCTCCCTCATTAGCAAGGCCAGCTATGAAAATGTTGCTAAGAAAGTAAGACCTACATTATCTTCAGAAATTCTTGTCTTTGTTAAATGTTATATATCTGATTATGTGTATGTGAGAATGAATTTTTATTTTTTGTGTCTTGTGTATAGTGGATTCCTGAATTGAGGCACTATGCACCTGGTGTTCCAATTATTCTTGTCGGGACAAAGCTTGGTAAGTCCTAGTCCTCTTATTTTAAGGACAATGCAGAGGTTTGGTATATTACAGAATTCCCTGCTGGGAGCCTAAGACTAGCTTTTCCTGCCTATGTGGTCAATAGCTTTGAATCTTTGAACTTGGTTTTCAAGATCCCTTGATGTATGTGAGTGTCATGTAGTAACTTCAGATATTTTATTCCGCCTGTTCGCTTAATTTTCTTGCAAGTGACATGATGATAAAGTCACTAGTCAATGTATTCATGGACCGAAACAAGATGAGGTTTCTTGAAGCCATATTGGGATAGTTGAAATGATGCAATGTTATTCAGGGATGTGCTTAAATGAACATTTCTATAAAGACTAGCATAAATTAATTCTCAACTATGTGTTTTTCAGGCTCATTCAATTGAATTGGGAGCGCAGGGGAGATATATTGTATATTAGAAATGACCATTAAATTGGCCGAACTTGGTTTTTGAACATATTCCAGCACTCCATGCCACCCTGCAAGGGCTTACTATGAATACTTAAAAAATAGAATTATTTTGTGTTTTGATGACACTTTCTGAAGCTTGAGGAGTTTTGAGAATATCCAAAATTTTTGTGGCCAGTTGCATAAGTAAAGATGCTTTTAGTAAGCATTCATTATTCAATCACCAGTGCCTAAAAACCCAGTCTGATAGCTTCCCTAGATGTTTGGCACTTGTACATCTCATCTGGATTTGGGTTAAATGAATAGGGTATGTATCAGCAAAATTGAACTGATATCTTTCTGAAAGTGCTCAGCAGTAACTTGTTATATCTGGTTGAATTCCATGACCATGTGTTAGTTCAAGCTGCTATTGGTTTTAAGCATATCTTTGCAATGATTAACTTGGAGATAATGAACTTCCATATTACTAAATGGCACTACCCTTTTCGTTAATTGCCAAATTATTTTTAGTTATACAGTGCCTCAGCATAGAATGTCTTTTATCAATTCTCCTAACCTGTCGACAAAAAATGAGTATCATGACAACTAAATTTGCTCCCTGTAGATCTCCGGGATGATAAACAATTCTTTTTAGATCACCCAGGTGCAGTGCCCATCACCACAGCTCAGGTATCAGCTGCTGCATCACATCCTAGTTTGCCTTGCTGTCTTTCTTCTATTGTGGATACTATCATGTCAGCCCGTATAAAGGGAATAAAAAACACTTTTTTTTGTTATTTTGAAAGGGTGAGGAACTGAGAAAGCTAATTGGGGCTCCTGTTTACATTGAATGCAGTTCAAAAACACAGCAGGTATGCAAATTAAGTTCTTGATGATAAATCATAAGAGAAGTTTGGTTCTTACCTCATTACTAACAGAATTTGTTCCGTCTACTCTTTTACGCAGAATGTCAAAGCTGTCTTTGATGCGGCCATTAAGGTGGTCCTCCAGCCTCCAAAGCAGAAGAAGAAAAAGAAGAGAAAGGCACAGAAGGCCTGCTCTATATTGTGATCGTCTAACAAACCAACTAGCACATTCGTCGCAGTAATTGCCATCTCTAGGGAGCAGCAGGATGTGGTCCGTGGTCTATACTGACAGATCTAGGGGGCACTTATAAGAATCAAGTTGTTTGTTGCTTTGTGATTTGTATATTAATGTTTCACGTTGTGATTGTTAACTTTCACACGTCTACTGTTTCTGGAGGCCTACCTATATATTGCCGACCAGACTGGGCAGAGTTTCTTATGAAATACCAAGCTGTTTCTCCTCACCATGATCCGAAACCTGTTTTAGTGCACTTAGAGAATCGGAATATAATTATGATTTTGTGCTATTATAGTTGATTCTCATCCACATATAACTGATTTACATGCGCCTTTCCTGCTGTATTGTTTGTGGAACGGCAATTTTAAAACCTCCACTCAACATCAGGAAAACAAGAAAGAGGGAATATGGTATCCATCTTTCCTTTGAAGGATACTGTAAATCAAATTCTTTGGTTCCCTTACCCCCATCTGCCTCAAAGCTTTTCCAGATGCTCAAACCAGGATATCATTTCTGTGAATTAGCTGGGGACGAATATTTTTCTTTATAGGGCATGGCTTGGTGTCTAGTGGTAGCTATTGTGGTTTTGAAGATTCCTGATTGGTCATCTAGAACTAGAATCACGATTGTTTCATGTACTGATGGTGGTCAAAAGCATCACCTAGAAAGCGGATTCCTTTTGTTTAGATTATTTAATTCATCTTATGAATGATATAAATGTGATTGAATGGGTTGACTGGGAAAAGTAAAACCAGAATTGGAAAGAAATGGTTTTTTCTCTGATCTTATTGACCTTACGGATGATTTTAAGGACAGGAGAGGGAGATCCCAAGTTAATGCAAAACAGAGGTGGCTCAAAGGGAGGGAACTCTCCTAAGATGTCCTTGTCAATTATCAGGGAATCATATATTTTCTTTAATGATAGCAATGCTGGGAGAAGGATAGTTGATAGGAACTTTTTAATATTGCAGAACAGCAAATCTCTTTCAGGTTGTTGTTGTCATAAAACATGATTCTTTACTTGCTACCTTTTTTCTGGAATTTATACTGCGCCCACCTTCTAAAAGAGAGAGTACAGTGCAAATAGAAATAGTGTGGACCTTTGCCAAATAGACACCTCTCTTCTCCAGCATTCCAATTCCTCCATTAAATACACAACCATCTTCCCTTCTGCCAGCATCCATATCTTGGTTTTCTTCTCTAGCTTCGCAATCATCATTCTTGAATTACTCTCTTCCATACTACAACAACGCAATTAAATCGAATGGCATCGAAAAGAATATTGAAGGAGCTCAAGGACTTGCAGAGAGATCCCCCAACTTCATGCAGTGCAGGTAACAGGAACAGAAGGCTTGAATATAATAACATCACGGTTCATTCTTGTTTAGAAAGTTACTTGACTGCCTTCTGCCTATTTTTATTTCAGGTCCTGTGGCTGAGGATATGTTCCATTGGCAAGCCACCATAATAGGTCCGAACGACAGCCCCTATGCGGGTGGTGTTTTCCTTGTTACCATTCATTTCCCACCGGATTATCCTTTTAAACCTCCCAAGGTAAGATAGAAAAACAAGACTGTTAAACCCTTTCTCATGATTAGTATTGTTTTTCTGTCTATACCATCCGAACACGTCTATATGATGATCTTCATTGAATAATTGCAAGCAGGTTGCCTTCAGGACAAAGGTATTCCATCCAAACATAAACAGTAACGGGAACATCTGCTTGGACATACTCAAGGAACAATGGAGCCCCGCGCTCACCATATCAAAGGTGGGGTTATCTTGAAGAACTTTCTTGAACAGGACACCACATAAATCTTAAAATCATTTCACTCTAACTGCACATAATAATTAAGGCATCAGGACTGCGTCATTTCAAAAAATCAACAAATGATTCTCAAAATCTCAAATTGCGTTGCATCTCTTCATTTCTAAAACATCATGGAGAACAGTACTCGTGTAGATAGGAACAAACCTATTTAGGTGCTCCCTCCATTTGAGTCAGGCCAATTACCTTGAATTATAAATTACGAAAACCCTTCTATAAAGAAAGAAATGGACGCATGCCTCATCTCACATTCTTTTAATCCTTTCCACGCTCGAGGCTTCAAGCATTGCTTAGAATTATTCTGACATCTTATTGTGGGGGATTCATGCAGGTTTTACTCTCCATATGCTCACTGCTTACAGATCCAAACCCTGATGATCCTCTTGTTCCTGAAATAGCCCATATGTGCAAGGCCGACAAGATCAAGTATGAATCTACTGCTAGGAGCTGGACTCAAAAGTATGCCATGGGATAGGCCCTGAACTCCACCATATATGTTCTTGTTTGAGAGTACGATGAATTTTTCCATCAATAATTATCTATTTGTCATGCTACTAATTGCGCAGCTTATAGTGTGCTGAAAAAAAACAAGGAAACGTTACAAGGCAGTAGTAACTTGTAATTTGAGTCACTCATTTCTCGGACATAAATGGTTGGCCACTTCTGAACTTATGGTTCCCCTTGTTCTTAGGTAATGGTGTGCGTAAACTACTACTAAATCTGCTCTGCATTTGCAATAAATCTGTTATTGATGGTTTATTTAGCTATAAATCTTCACGAATGAAAAAGACTTGATAATTTTCAAAATTAATTGGAGTTATTAATCAATTTATTATCAATTCAATCTCCATTTTATCATTTCAAGTTTGAATTGGAGTTATTAATCAATAAATATTTTTATATGTATAAATTCACCAATTAAACCATGAATCGCCTTTTTAAAATCCAATTTTAATATATATATATACACACACACACGTTAAAAAATTGGTTTTTGAAGAAGGAAAGAAAAACATTGATTGACATGAATCCAACCAAGTGGCCCATTAAATTTTTACTACTTTAATTAATCCCAACAATTTCCTGTTGGCTAGCATCGCATCCCAGCAACTCAGATTAGCTAAAGCATCGATCTTTATCACAAGAGAACTAACCTAACCTTGCATATGTTGACACGGGTCTTTTCATTGCATGCAAGTCTGTTAAAGTAGTATCTTTTTGGTAGGGGTAGTGGTTTAGCTAGGAATTTTAGTTTGGAAAGGTCAAATTAGAAAATAATTAAAGGATAAAATTTAATTTTTTACTTTATTTTTAAAGTTAAAAATATAGTTTATTAATGGAGGGGGGTTAAAAAAATTTCATTGCAGGGCTCAGCCATTGTAGCCCCTTAATTCTGCCCGATGATGGGATGAGAATTCTTTAGTATTCTATGCTAAAAACACTAATAAAATAACATAGTATAAAAAATTATTTAGAAAAATATTTCTAGTTATAAATGATATACAATTCAAGAGTTATAATCAATACATGTGACTCTTTCAAATTATAAAGTTATTGGATATACCAAAATTCCTATAATTATACCATCAATACTATTGTAAAGATGTTAATAAGAGGAGTCCAATAATACTAAAATAGGTCCCCAACAATGATTGGAGTGCACCACACAAGTGGCCTAAAGACAAATAAGCCCCAATACTTTTGGCTGACTCATGGACCCATTTCGTTCATCATTTATAATCTTCTTAGATGTTGTTGAATTCTTCTTATCAAGATCTTTTCAATGATACTAATGATGTTATTATCAGAGTTTTGATATGTCTCTGAAATTTTTTTATTTTATTTTTATTTTTTATCTTTCCTAACTCTTCACAAATTACAAAAAAAAAAAAAAGAGAAAAACAAAGAAAGAAATGACACCAAGGGTATTTTGAAACTCTGATGACGACACCACCAGTATCATTAAAAATATATTAATTAGATGAATACAGTGACACCAAAAAAGATCATAAACAATAAATAGAGTGAGCCATATAAGTCATCCAAAAGTGTCATGGTTAACTTGCTTTTAGATGGGTTGTGTGGTACACTCTGATCACTGATAATGATCTTCTTTGATATTGTTAGATTTATCTTGTCAAGATTTTCTCTATAACACTGATAATTGTTAGAATTTATGAGAATCTGCCAGAATATAAAGACTAGAATAAATGTTGTTGTGACTTGGTCTTTTGTATTACTGTTTTAAAACAGATTTTCCAGCTAGATTTTCTTATTTTTTGTTAAGTAGTAATAGTGTCAACAAACTCTAATTTTTGTTGCTATTTTTCAGTATTTTCAGTTGAGTTGTATACCTTTAAATAGGTATTCTTTATTTATGAAGGAATTATCTTTTCTCTACTTCAACTCTTCTCTGTTAAGGATCTTTTCTATTTTTATGCAATTAGATATTTGTTTAATTAACAATATTTCAACGGTGGTATTAGAGCTTCTATCCTACGGGTTGTGAGGCAAGTATTTTGAGTTAAACACAGAGAGGGTGAGTGTAAACACTAGTGACTTATTTTTTATTTTATTTCAATGTCTACTTCAAATAATATTGCATTTGCAATTCCAGTGTTCAATGGTGAACACTATCATATTTGGGCTGTCAAGATAAGGTTTTATCTAAGATTTCAAGGATTGTGAAATGTTGTGGTGACTGATTCTGATCCACCACCATTGACAACAAACCCTATAATTGCTCAGATGAAAGCACATGAAGAAGAAAAACTCAACCATAATTGCTCAGATGAAAGCACATAAAGAAGAAAAACTCAAGAAGGACAAAGCGATCACCTACCTACATTCTGGATTTATAGATTATATTTTCACCAAAACAATGAACCTGAAAACACCAAAACAAGTATGGGATAAACTCCAAGTTGAATTTAAAGGTAACAACAGAGTAAAAAAGGTTAGGCTTCTTGCATTAAAAGTAAAATTTGAGTTGATGAAGATGAAAAACAATGAATATGTAAAAGATTATTCTGGCAGATTAATGGATGTTGTAAATCAAATAAGACTTCTTAGAAAAAGATTTGAAGATCATAAGGTGGTAGAAAAACTTATGATGTTTGTACCATAAAAGTTTGAAGCCAAGATCTCTACAATAGAAGAATCTTGCAATTTGCAAAATCTCACTATTGCAAAGTTACTTAGCAAACTTCATATACAGGAGCAAAGGGTATAAATGAAAGATGATGAGGCTGTTAAAGGTGTTTTCTAAGCAAACAACAAAGGAAGGAGTATTGGTAACCTACCAATAAAAAAACTATCAAGTTTTCTAAGGGAAAAACAAGTGTATCTTCAAAAAGACAAATTTTCTCACCTTGCTCTTATTGCAAAAGAACTAACCATGCTGAGAAAGATTGTTGGTTTAAGGGTAAACCTTTTCTTTAGTGTATGTTTTATAATAATATTGGTCATAGTGAGAAATATAACAGAATTAAGAATAAACAATCTCAATAACAAATACAACAACAAGCAAATGTTTCTGAAAAAGGCAAAGATGATGAGGAGCATTTGTTTATGGCATCACAAGCTAACAATACCTCTAAACTGAATACATGGCTTATAGACAATGGTTACACTAATCATATGTCTAAGTTTCTGTCAATTTTTTCTTCTAATAACATATCAGTTCAACCAAAGATCAAGTTAGGAAATAAAGATATTGTACAGGTTAAAGGAAAAGGCATTGTTGCAATCAATACAAATAAAGGTATTAAAACCATTACAAATGTTCTTTACATTCCAGAACTAGATTAAAATCTCTTTAGTGTTGCACAGATGCTAAAAAATGGTTATGAAATCTGTTTTAAAGAGAGATTTTGCTTTATCACTAATACACATAATTCAGAGATAACAAAACTCAAAAATGGATGATAATAGCTTTTATTTGAAGCTCGATACTGTTAAAAGGCAAGTGTTCAGTACCAAGATTGATGAAAGTATTGTTTGACACAAAATATTTGGTATTACAATTTAAAATCATTAAAGTTATTGTATGATACTAGTATAGTAGAAGATATGCCTGAAATTCATGTTACTGCACAAACCTGTGGAAAATGTGAATCGGGGAAGCCACACCAACAATCATTTCCTCAAAGTATATCTAAAAGAGCCACTCATAAGTTGGAGTTAGTCCATTCAGACATCTATGGATCAATAAGTACAGTTTCTTTGAGCAATACTATGTATTTTATATTATTCATTGATGACTTTAGTAGAATGACTTGGGTTTATTTTCTAAAAACCAAGTCATAAGCATTTTCAATGTTCAAAAACTTCAAGAGTATGGTTGAAACTCAAAGTGGTTAGAAAATTAAGGTGCTGAGAATTGATAATAAAAAAGAGTATACTTAAAAGGAGTTCAATGCCTTCTGCCTAAAAGCTAGGATTGTACTTCAGTTGACGGTTCCATACTCTCTGACACGACGAAAAGATTGATGTCTTCTCCCAAGTGCAGGAGTGTCGAAGTAATAAATAACCCGGCAAGACCGAGGTCGAACCACAGGGAGGTTAATTGTAAAAATTAAAAACAACAATTA